TGCTGACGTTTACTTCAGGAAAATCGTTGTCCGAAAATGTATATTTCTTTCATTTTCATTCCAAGAATGTGCAGATGATTCTCGTAATGATCTCGTGCTGGAGAGTGAGTGGGAACCGGAGAAAAGTACGTGTGAAGAAGCCGAAGATTTGAGAAAACAGACACTCGCATGCAGGATAGTTCTCCATGGCTGTCCACGATGTTTAAGACCCCCTGCGTTGAAACTATTCTGTGCCCAGATTTCTCACAGTCAAATAGCAAGAAAGCATATCCGGACGAGCGATGGAAGCTGAAATCATTGGCTACTACAGACAAGCTCTTCAGCATACAATACCTTTCTCGAGACCAGCGAAAATCATACTTTACAAATTCAGCGCAAAAATCGGGTGCAGTTAGTTTATCACGTCCCTGATTTCCAGCGCGTCCCAGAGTCCCCGTGTTCCACCTCTCAGAGTCCCACCTCTCAGAGTCCCACCTCTCAGAGTCCCACCTCTCAGAGTCCCATATCTCTGAGTCCCACCTCTCAGAGTCCCACGTGCCCGAGTCCCGGGTCCCATGTCCCCGCGTCCCACGTCCCCGAGTTCCACGTCACCACGTCCCCGCGTCCCACGTCCCCGAGTCCCACGTCCCCGAGTCTCACGTCCCCGCATCCCCCGTCCCCGAGTCCTACGTCCCAGTTCATACGTTCCGTCCCACTTTTAGTCACAGCCATTCTTAAAAGAAAATTTCCATGGGCATTGAGTCTCCAAAATAGGTCACCATTGAATATTCCATTATCTGTACAAAAAGGCCTGAGCTCCAAATTCTTCTTGCACATAATGAAAGAAAAAGTGAAATACTGATAACTGAAAGAATTGCTATCAATGAAAGAAGTCACTTGACCTATGATTCTCTTCAATCACCTTGCACATACCAAAGTGTGCAACTGCAGGCATAGCTGACTTGTTACTGGACCAGGGGCAACTAAAGGCACACCACTAAACTCGCATAAACCAAGTGTAAGGTGGGACCTCTCTGTTGGGACGTATACTAAACATGGACCGGGGTCCATGGACCACCCCTATGGACCCGGCCCATGGACCACCCCTAATTTTTGAAAAGGAGATCGCCCCTGTTAATATGAAAATTTACCGGCGGTCAGGGTATGAAAAACACGGACTCGTATTTATCGCGCCCCCATAAATGGGAAGACCATAAACTCGTTTTGAGATACAGAAGATCGAGTGCATTTCTACCCCCAATATTTTCATTCCAACACTTCCAAATTGCAATTCGATCGGGAAGACACCCCTACCCCGCTTATTATACTCTATCGTGCATAAAAATAAGCCGATTTATTTTATAAGCGAAGTTTACCCTACGAACACAAATTTGTAATCAAGGTATATTGATGAAAAAGTTTAATGGATAGCTTGTAATTTTAATGAGAGAGCACAGAATCATTTAGTTTCCGTATTAAACGAAGCGTAACCTTGGAGGGGGTAGGTTGCCGGATAACATAAACTCGCTCCAGCCCCTTCGCGCTCCCTCATCCAAGATGGCAGCTGCCTTGAAACGATCCAAAGGTCAGGTGAGTATTTATTGCTCGTACCCACAAAGTACGCCTGTATTGCGAGCTATGTACAGTCGCAAGACTTTGTTGTACTACCCCGCGCAAAAGGAAGTCCTTTTACTTTATTTATTTATTTATTTATTTATTTATGTATTTGCAAAGGACCATCCAAAATTGTAAAATAGCGACACTTTCCCTTCTCACCTTCCTCCATGTTTCCCACGTGTACGACAAAACTCAGTTCCAGTGGGGTGGCCCATAGGGGTGGTCCATGGACCGGGTCCATAGGGGTGGTCCATGGACCCCGGTCCATGTTTTGTATACGTCCTCTCTGTTGAACTGCATTTTTATTTGTAACTTCAGCAATATCTTATCCTTAAATCTTCAAAAGTGGAAAATTGGGCCAGTTATCTTATTTTTTATAAGGAAATAGTAATTGACCCACTGTTACTCTTGTCACCTTTGCTACATCTTTGTACATTTTATGCAGTTGTGTTGTATGGTAATACAATTGATGTATTATTATCATACCTGCCCCAGAACACTTGAACCTCCTGGGGGCATCTTTGAAAGATCTCCTCCTTCTCTGTGTACCAACACTTGCTGGGAACTTCCTCCTGTTGCTGAAGATGGATTGCCTTGTGGAGCCACAAATTGATGCTGTCCCTGTGCGAGACCTGCAGGAGACTGATTCTGCTGCAAATGTAAATGCATTTGCAATGGGAGCTGGCCTGGACTCACAGTTCTTTGCATTGAAGTTTGTGTTGCTGAATTTGATGGGAGCTGTACAGTCTGAGTTGCACTTCTGTTATTTGGAGCTGCTGTTACTTTAGCCAGTTGATTTTGAGGCAACATCTGATTCAGTGCTTGCCCATTTGCTGGTACATGAACCAAATAATAATTCCCCTTTTTATGTTTTACTGGGGGTGAAACAACTGGCTGCACCATAAGAAATCCCTGCTCTGCACCCTGATCGTTCTTTCTTTTAACAGGTGCCCTTTTCTGATTTGAGTGCAAGGTGGATTCTGGTATCTGTGAGGATGTTGGCATCTGCAAAGATGTGGAGTGCCCTATATAAGCAAGAGATGCTTCCCCTAAATAAAGAAGAAATCTCAGTCAATTAAAATTGCCTTTAACTTTGTATTTTATTGGATGGCCTGCTGAATCAAGAAGTTTGTAATAGAACCCCTCCATTTCAACCCAGAGATATAGCTACTCAGTCTATACTGTTAGTTACAGACCCTTGTTTCTTCCACTTGGATTTCTAAACTGCACCCTTTGTACTTGTACCATGAATCCAAGTGGAAAAAAACTCAGTCCATAAATTAACTTGCATTATTAGGAACTTCAAATCAGCTATTACCTACTTTCAATAAAAATTACCAGACTTTTTAGATATTTTATATTTTGCAGCTAACTACCATTAATTAATAGTATATGCAAATGTATTTTGCCACCTTCACCAAGGTGGAGTACTTAACAGTTATCATTTAGGGCAGATCGATCTACCAGAAAACATATTTTCATTGTCATAGAGGCTTTTTCACTTGTCCAATTGTGATTCTTACCTGCTGAATGACTGGCCTGTTCATTAGATAGCTTTTGTAATGCTCCTGACAAGTCATCAGCTTTCATCTGTAAGTAAGTAAGTAAAGTCTTTATTTAGCGAGGGTAGCACGAAATAGCATCTAAATGCTAATAAACTAGTGGCCCTCATTACAAGATTAAATTAATTAAAAATCAAGGCTTACAATAAAATTATTAAAAAGACACCCATTGTAGATCATTTAACAGCATTTTAAGGTGATACAGTGTCTCTTGATTTAAAAAAAGCATGCATTTAAAAGTACATGGTCTATAAAGCCCAGCAAACTAACAATTAAAGTGTATTCTTTAGGACTGTCAACTAAAATTTGTTAATCACATTAAATCAGTGAAAGCACCTTTAAACCAACAGCTATATTACTAAGAAAGCAATAACATTAGAAGCATTTTATAAGTGGACACCCTGGCAAGACAAAAAAAGTTATAGCTAGAGCTAGCTACCTCTAAGATTGGGTTTGGTAATTTAAGGGACCTTATTAATTTACAGGCTGGGGTAATTGAAAGTGATATAAAACATGGCCTCTCTCAGGAGTTTTATAGTTAACAACTGAAGAAACTATAATTGATGGACCATTTCAAGATATAATAATGACCCCTTTTGAGGTTGTTATGATGGTGAAACACATTGTAACATGGCACTGATCAACGTAGTGTAAAAAAGTAATTTTTTGTGATCTGCATGCACTAATAGAAACATGAATAGTTACTTAAAACTTAATGATTCAGAGACTGCATGGTTGGATTTCTGGTCATCGGCTTAATTATCAGAGCTTAATAAAAATAAAAGGTGTTATCTTATTATAATCACGTCCTTTAAAAGAGTCTACAATTAATTGCTTTCTGATTGTGCATGCAGGAATGTGTAGAAAATACAGATTGCTAGAGTTAATTTGCATGATAATTTGCATGCTATATAAATCCTGTTTAACAGTAAGAGCTACAATTCATGCAGCAAGTGCATGAAAGGATTTTTTTTTATTTCGCTCACCATCATCACCTCACTGAAAATGCTAAAATATGCAAATTAACATATTAAACTAAAGTTTATTGTCAGTAAGCAACATTAATTCATATATTGAATACAAAAAACAAAGACAATAATTTAAAAATAATTAAACACTTTAAAGGTTTAGTTACGTTGATTTGAGTTAGAGTTTTAAAGGTAATAGAACTTCTTATGATCTCTTATATAAGTTGACTTCTGTACTTTCCAAATATTTGTCATACACTATCATAATGAAAGTATTTGAGCGACACTGTAGGACTGTCCACTAAAGTCCATTGAATATTTTCACAAACCTCAGTTAAGATGTATAGAGCTGAATTTCCCCTGATGGTCCTGTTGATAAAGCGTCCATCCCACACTCTCCGCTCACCATGAAAATCAAGCCTTGTTCGCCCATCAACAGCAGAGGCACAATAGAAACTGTATATGGATATAAAAATTATCTTATGAACCAAGCGCGAGGGCCGTACTGGGAGAATATCGGCCCAAGGTCTTCTGTTACTCGAACGAGCGCAGCGAGGTCCGTACAAAAAAGACCGAGGGCCAATATCCAGTACGGTCCCGAGCAAGCTTGGTTAATAAGAGATTTGTTATGCGACTGAAGTTCAAAGGGATACAAGTGCAGCATCATTTGGGACCATTCGGGATAGTGCCCGGTCCAATACTCAGAGAATATTGGACCGGCAATAGAGCATTTTGATTGGTTAATTTTAGTTATTGGCCCTCTGACTGCCCGAGTCATGTAATAAATAAGTTATATTAATATAGTTACAATTTCAATTAAAATTCATGTTAATCCATTACAAATACACAAAAAAAACCTACTCGTATAATAGAGGGATTAAACTTGGTGTCCGCAAAACAGTGCTCGATACAAATAGTAGTGGTATAATGTATATGTAGCTATGTTTTCTGCCTACCACACATTATACTCATATAATATAAATTTACAAATATTTTAACTTAATGAACAAAGTATGCATCATCTGATTAGTCAGCTCAGTTTCCAACTGGTTGCTTTATCAGGTTATGTATAGCGCCTTCCCACAACTAGTTATGTCATAAAAGCAGCAGAACCCATTTTTTTGCAGGCTCTTTTAAACAAGATGTTAAGCCTTGTGGGATATTTGGGGAACACTCAGAAAGCATATAAATCACTTGCCTTCAGCCTGTGATTTATATTAAAGCCTAGAAAAATGTATTCTATTGCTGAATAAAGTTATATTATCTATTTTGTAATGATATTGAACTCCTTGCATGAAGGACCTCTTTATAGCATGTGTCTGCTGTCAATAGAGATCTGAGCACTTAATTGTATTAAGTCATTAAAAGTTTATTTTTAAAACCCTTAATGAGAGGAACTGCACTAGGGGGTTCTGAACGATGCAATACTGCCAAAAAATTTGGCCAATACCACCATTTTTGCCAGAAAAAATTGTCAAATTATTGAAAAAAACTGCTAAATAATGCAATACTCCAATAACCCATTTGAAACTCAATGTCATGCCTATTCTGTTAGTTATCCATAGGGCAAATAAGAAAGAAATAGCAATGCAAGAATCTATTAATGAATTTTAAGTCAGGGGATTTTCAATTTAGATGAAATAAACAAAATAGGCAACATCTCTAAGTGTTTTGGCCAATACTCAACAAAAGTCATGAACAGATTTAAGACAACCATCAAGCTGTTTAAAGTCCTGTTTCAGCCTGTTTCAGCCTGTTTCTAAAACAGTTAAAAACTGGCTTGGAAGACTTAAAGGATAATTCTTAATATTGATAATAGTGCTTATTTAGAAACTACATCCTGCGGGTTTGAGAATAACGTAATTGGAGATTCAAATTACCAAAATACAACAAGAAAAATTGTACAGTACAGTGCAGTATGTGTATTGAAAAAATTGGGAAAAAAATATTGTAGCGTTACCCTTGCGTTACTTAGTTTGGACACGTCACAAGTCATGTGCAGTAAGCAATTAGAGCGGACCTCGTGCTTTCAGATTTCGACGGTGCTCCATTACAAAACGATCATAGCACCCAAAGTTTTTATAGATTATTCATTTATGTTTGGTTTTTCGTGCATGTTTCACCCCAAGATCAGGATAGAGTTTTTACGTGTTGGACCACATTAAAGAATAACCCCAGTTAACTCTACGTGGTGGTGTTTGTATTCAATGTGAGGTTCGACTCAGTTCACTAACCTATTGCTGCTAAAATATTTTTTGACACAATATTAGTACCATAGCTACAAAAGAAAAGTCACTTTAGATAAATTTCAACAGACGAGTGTAATACCTCAAAATATTCATAGGCTAACTAATGATGAGGAAAAAAATTACAGTGATTTGTTTACATCAAACATTATAGGCAGTGCAAGGTGTGCATAAATCTCATTAATTACACCTTTGAATTGTTTTTTTATCTCCATCTGATGAGCACCAATAGCTAGTACACCTCTAAAGTCTCACATACAAGACAAACACAAACACATTTAATCTTCTGCCCTCACACTGTAACTATTGTTTTACTGATTTAAGGTTTCGGATTTAAACTTTTGATTTAAACTGCTGCTTTAGTTAAGCACCACCTAAGCATGGAATTGATTGAATATCCTTCTAGATACAATTTACACAATTTTCCCGGCGTGACAAACCTGATCAGCCTTCTCTTGCTAATCATGGTCTCTTCCATATACAGACCCTCACAACCACTCAGTTAAATCCATCATTCTTAAAAACTTTAAATTACTTCAAAACGATCCAGAGACATTAGCACTATCTTTTCGCAGCCTCCACTCATTTCATTCAAACGCGACAAAAACATAGGCAATTTTTTGGTCAGAAGTTCTTTTCAGACTAATGACCAACCAGGCACTTTTAAATGCGCTCGTGCACGATGCAAAAGGTGTCCTTTCATTCACAACACTGATAAAATATCAGGACCTAAACGATCCATTAAGATCACCAATCACTTCATGTGGATCTCCGCCAATGTAATCTATTGCATAACTTGCACTTATTGCAAAAAGAGATACATCGGCGAAACAGGCAGAAGACTAGGTGACCGATTCTGAGAACACCTTCAAGACATGGAAAGGAATGACAAGGACACATCGAAACCAGTCGTTAGACATTTTAATTTACCTAATCATTCTAAGCAACATATGGCAATTTGCGGTCTTTCCTTACACTTAGGTAGCAGGGAAAGCCGTAAAACTCTTGAACAAAAGCTCATCTTTCAAACCGGCAGTCTAAATCCCACAGGGATCAACAAACGCTTTTCATTCCACTAATTTAGTTGCGTTTTTCTTGTTGCCATGAACCCACCAATAACGTACGTAGCTCCATTTTCTGCCTTTAAAAGCACACACAACCCACAATTCCTCTATTCGCTCCGACGAAGGGCTAATGCTCGAAACATCAACTTTTGTAATCGTTACGGTGGCCAATTTACCATTTCAACTTTGTTGATATATCCAAATAATATGTAATGATTTTGATGCTAGGTGGGAAAAGGTAGCAACCCCCTTCCACACCTCATCCATGATGAAGATTAAATTGACTGAAAAGATAGTACCCTTCTATGTTCCCTCACCAAGTTCTTAACCAGCCTGTTCAGCTGAGAAAACATCATCTCTTTTCCAAATTAAGCATGTAGAATGATGTTACTCGTAGCAATCGTTATGAATATACCCAATGACAGCTAGGCTGCCTACTCCCTCAAGACAAAAAATAAAAGACATACACTTGAGACCTGGAAAAGGCCAGCCTTTTGCCCTATGCCTTCCTGTACATACCATTACAAGAATATTGTCATAATATATTTCATATATACCTTTGATCTTCCAAATATGCAAAATGGGAAAGCAGTTTCCTCTTTACATCCTCCTCTGTCATCTCCTTAGTGAATAGCACATCATTGCAAAATTGTCTTTTCTCTTCCTTCCTCCTTAGAGCTGCTTGCTCCATTGTGTTTGGCATACAAACTCTCCCTTCTCTTTCTCTGACATCAGTGGATAGCAGCACAACAACACTTCTCCCCTGCTTACTTCCAGAGTTCGATACTCTACGCAATTTTTCTATCCACCCACTCATTCTGGTTGAAAGATGGATATCAGAAATAAGATATGACAATTGAAAGCAGCGTTAGTTTAATGTTAATTTTAACTTTTTTGCTCCACTGCATGTGGAGGCAAAATTGCTACTTCATCTACAGAGACCTTAGACTTATCCCTTCGATTCTTGAGAGTGACTAGCTTAAGAAATGATCACAAACTTAAGTAGCTCTTGACTATCATACAAATTCTCCTTGCCAGCACCTTAGGAAATGTATAGAGAACAGTAAGGAGAATATGCATACTGATGTTAGGGTAGAAAGGGCTAAGGCGTGTATACATAATTACTCTTTGTTTCATCCGCTGCTGAGCCGAACGATCCTGTAAATATGCAGACCATAGACTTATTGATCATCCACTGCAGGGCTAAACGAGCCAGACGAGCCTGTAGATACATGCTCCTTCAAAGTGGCTATGTATAGTGTAAAAGTTGCCACTACGATTACGACTGTATGAGACGAAGTTGCGAGACATATAATATCAACAGAAGGGATTACAACAAAGAGAAAGTACTAGACAGAGATAGAAAGGGTACCCACAGAGGATAGGAAATCGAACACCGCACGATCGATGCTGCCTCGTTGATGTGTCAACATCTACAGACACGAAGCATATAAGATCTACCTCTCGCCCATCGTAATTTCCGCGAACAACAAAGGTAACATCGTTATTCGAAAAGATATTTCACGAGGATCGACAACAACTGGGTAAAAATTTACAACTTTTACGTCCAAGGTGTGCTAGTATAAATTTTACATACTGACCTCTACTCGTAAATGTGAGGAACCCACAGCAGGCACGTTTAAAAAATGTGTTTTCTGATTGGAGCTGTAGGTAATCCACGCGCTTCTGTGTGTAATTAATTCTCTTCTACGGAAGAGATAGATCGGGCGTCTACTCGTGGCGAATTGCTCTAAGTCATGGCAGAAATAATAATAAAACACACCAACTGAGAAACCTTGTTGGAAAGGGTCAACCACCTGCGTGCGCAGAACGCAAGTCGCTTTTTTTGCACAGTCTCACAGTCACGTGATCATGCAGTGTGCAAAGCTGAGGACAGCACAAAATTTCTGGTCAAATTCTTTTTCGTACTTTTTTAACATATAAATTGAACAAACCAACTCTGATAGATGAAAAATTGTCAACAAATAGGGTAAAACCGCGCTTTTTTTCGAGTGTTGGAGATTTTACTTTGATCTTGAGGTGGGTTCGTCGACTGGGGAGGAATTAGCGGGTGATGACGTAAATGGAAGTGGCTTTTTGCACAGCCTCACTGTTTATTTGATAAAGCAGGTTACTAGGTAAACAAGACTAAAGTCCTGATCATGCAGTGTGCAGAGCGAAAGAGGGCAGAAACATTTTTGCAAAAATCTTTTTCGTACTTTTTTGGCACATAAAATGAACAAACCAATTCCGATGAAAAAAAAATTAAAAGAAAGGGTAAAACTGCGCTTTTTCGCGTCTAAAGAACTTACTTTGATCTTGAGGCAGGTTCGTAGACTGGAAACGAGTCGGCGGGTGAGTAAGCACGAGGCTCAAACACAACATGAAAACTATTAGTTCCATTAAGAAGCAACCCTTCATAACAAAACAAAGACTACGAAGGAACTGGAATTAATAATATTCTCTAGTAATCGTCCCATTCATACTTTGAAACATAATCACATATTAGTTATAATTGTCGAATTGGAACAGGTGGATAGCTTCCCATATCTTGGGGTTACTATTAGTAACAAGCTTAAGAGGTCAGATCACGTTTCCATAATAACAAACAAGTCGCTGGGTTCAATCCAACGCAACCTTTGGAATTGCCGCAAGAATGTAAAGGAAATTGCATATACATCCCTAGTACGGTCGAAGCTGGAATACGCGAGTGCGGCTTGGGATCCGTTTTTAAAGAAAGATGTCACTGCCCTGGAAAGATTTCAACGTCAAGCAGCACGGTTTTGCTTGCAGAATTATCATAGATATGCTAGTGTTACTGACAGGATCGAAGATTTAGGATGGACCACGTTAGAGACGAGAAGAAGACAGTTTCGGTTAATACTTATGTATAAGCTAACTCGCGGTCTTATTGACATAGATAATCGAGAATATTTAGTACCGCACTCCGAGTGTCGCACGAGTGGAAGCCATCAATTTAAATTTCGCGTGCCATATGCAAGTAAACACGTTTTCAAATTTTCCTTTTTTCCAAGAACTACAACAGACTGGAACTGCCTCCCTGAGACCATTGTTTCGTCAACTTTCTTAGAAATTTTTAAACGTAGGTTATCAGCCTTTTTGAAATGATAAAAAAAGCCGATAGTTTCTAAAGAAACTGTTTGGGGCTGCGTCGGTGGGGGTAACGAAGTAATTTGAATATATCAACAAAGTTGAAATGGTAAATTGGCCACCGTTACGATTATAAAAACTGACGTTTCGAGAGTTAGCCCTTCGTCATATATTCAAATTATTTTTTAAATGATAGTTGTACATAGCTTATATAGTTCTCATAATTTAACTTTTATTTTCAACATCAACATAATTGTTTTTTTATTCGTTTCCTTATGACCTTTATCTAGTTATTTGCTTTATTTTTACGGTTGGTGTGATATCTTGATGATTTTACCGACCTAATAACACATAAATGTAAATGTAAATAATTAATGGATCGACGAGAGCTTGAAATTTTAATATCAATTTCTCCAGTTGTTACATATACAGGCCTATCCCCTATGCCCCAGGGAGGCATTAAACATGTAACTTCTCTCTATAACATCCATACATAACTGGGGCGGAGACAGGATTTGGTCAAAGGGGGTTCAGAGAGTTGTCTAAGGGCATGCGCATGCTCCCCCAGGAGATTTGAAAATTAGGTCCTCGGAAACATGATTTCCAGCATTTTGAGGTACAATTTCGGGGGTTTGACCGAACCACCCGAATCAACCCTGGATCCACCTCAGCATTATTCAGCAAACATATAATGAGAATACTCGCACTTATCTCAAACTTATCTTGTAGAAGTTATCTTGATCTAACCCCAAATTCTCATAACGTGTTAACAAGGAAATGTATCACAGCTGGCGGCAAAAATTAACAACCCTATCTTGGGAGTACAAGGATTAAACACCTGAACCTTCTCTGAAAACCTTTCCTTTGACGCTCTCAATCTTGTTGTCTGATTACTGATTTCAATTCTCCTCACTGTCTGTCATGCATTCCTTACAGTTTGTTAGTTAGGAAATATTGATAGTACAGGAAACACTACCACCAGGTTGGTGTTTGATGATTCTCAAATGCTTTCAAGAGAATGTACTGAAACTGTACATGGAAAGATTACTTATTGGTTATTCTTGAGAGTGAAAAGGTGGTTATATTAAACCCTGGAGTATCTCTTAAGATAATTTACAAACTAAACTAGCATATACACTATTGTTACCGTACTATCCAAACTGCTGGAAAGATACAACTCGTACAATCCAACTACTTTAATGACTGATGCAATAACTACGGAGCTATACCAATAACTAGTACAATAACTATCCTCTTCACTTAGCTACGGAGTGATATTAAATTAATACCAATACAATAACTATTCTTGTGACTTAGTGCCCTCTATAACATATTATGACTTCAATCTCAGTGCAATACCGCATAATTCACAGTTCTCTTGAGAAACTCTTAAAACTTGTCGACGTCCACAATACTTTCTCCAACATAGCCTTCCACTCGGCTTACAATTCCAGTAAATAATTCCACCAGCTCTATCCAGTTCTCGCTCCTCTGGGCTCTTCACAAAAGCAGCTTTAACTCACTAAAAAGGCCTCTAACTTTAAGCTATCGTGACTCCTTATATATCTTTCACAAAAGTTCAAGAATGTTCTAGAGATCTGTAATACTGCTATTTTTAGTAACATTACACTACTATAACGTCATAAGGAAAATATGCTGACTAACGGTTCTAGAAGGTACTATCAAGAAGTTCTCGCTGAGTCAGCATGACTAAATGTTGTGGAAACTTCTTCATTCTATTTTTAATATCTACGTAACGCCACGCTCTCTAGAAAAATATGGGCGCTCTCCATAACACTATGATTTTTCAAAATTCAACATTAGAAAATGCATCACTGTTAAAACAGTTCAGTAGCTTTTAAAAAGCTCAGATGTGTTCCCCAAACCCTAACTCTGGATACATCATCAGATGTAAATGCAGTCAATAAATACTTTGGGTTGTTAAGTTTGGAATGAGTTTCAGGTCATGGTCAGAACAGTTCAAACTAGATTTGCTTTTATTATGTTTGATTTTGAATCCTTAAATGTTATTTAATGTTATTTGTGCTATCCTGAGACAAAATCAATTTTTCTGAGGACTCCATCATATATGATCTGTGATTTCAGTAACTCAAAACCTTAAATAAATCCCACTCCTGCCAATCAATTTTCATTTCCCTTGATGAAGTAATTTTTTAAGCGATTGTATCTCCTATGACTTGAACACATGACTTTCAGTTTGTGGCAACTCAAAGTTCATAACTGCTTCTTGAAGATGCTCTATTTTCACTTGCACTCTTTATAATACAAGAAAACTTTATTGTAAAGTTCACTGTATAACTCTAACCTTCTTCAATTTGCCTTGAAAGTTTCAGTCAACAGAAGAAGACTGCCTAGTCTACCATCACCATGCAGGAACTGGCTGTAGTTTGAATTCAAATGATGTACTCAGATTTTTCCTTGTTCCACACTTGTTATAAATATTTCACAATTTTCTTTCCAAATATTAAGCTTCCTTCAAATCACTATAACCTGAAATTCATTCCTATGACAAAACTTATTGCAAAGCTCATAAAGTGTTATAAGAAGGATTGAAAAACACTTTTCTTCTCAGCATGCAGACTTGGCAAGGAATTTGCTTGAGGCCTGTGTTGCTGAAAAAATTAGCGACATGGTTGTTGACTCTCAACATCATATCCATGAGATGCTCTTTTCCTGCATACTCTTTGAATATTTTAACAACTGCTGAAATAAACCAAGAACCAAGCTCTGGCTGCCTGTATCTTTCATGACCAGGGGCAGAGGCAAAGCAGATCAGAAAATCAGCATCAGCTGGCAGAGATGAGCTTGCATATGGAATAGGCTCACTGTCGCTCTCGATAGGTATGCTATCCTGTTGACTACCACGGCAAGCTTGAATCAGAAATATTTTTGGTTTTCCTTCAAGGGATGGACATCTGTCCCGGCGAAAATAGGAAGTAATTGCTTCAATGTTGATTGAAACATCATCTGTTCCATAAATTCCATCTTTAGAACCATGGCTAAGGATTACACAAACAAAACAATCATATTTGCCAAAGTCTTTCTCTGATGCGTCTTGCAGTAGTTCTAAGATTTCACTTTGTTCCAAGTTGTTGCGAGTCTTGATAGTGAAATTAAAATCATCGAAGAGACTAGTGAGACCTTTTACATCTTCCGCTGACCATTGGCGTTCCGTGTCTCTCCTCTTGGGGAAGCTGTAGTTATGAATAAGTAGCACATAGCCAGACTTTGCCTTGTAATCAATAGCATCCCCAGACTCTTGAAAAGGTGCATGGGCTGTGGCTAAGGAAGCAATATTATAAATTTGATTTTAAGTAAAACTATGGGTTAGTTATCTTTTCTTCTGCAAATTTTTATGTCATTTGTGCTTGTTTTACTGTGCCACCTCTTCCTCAAGGTGGTAACTAGTGCAATATGATTATCTCTACGCTGTGATTCTTTTTTTTTTTTTTTCAGCATACTCCTATGAGTACAATTACCTCTCACATCTTCAACTATATGGTTGCTTGCCACCCAACAATCAGAGACTGTGGCAGACATCAGTCAATCATCTACTCCCAATAAGCTTCAACTTTTTTTGAGCCTTTAAGTGAGAAACTCTTGAGGTGATACCTTGAAATAACTATTTCTTAGGGAAGACAATCAAACCCCAAATGAAAGTGGTAATTATAAGAAAAAACCAAAAGGCAGAAAAATGATCAGAAAAAGTGAAGATGACCACAAGTTACAAACAACCAAAGGATTTGCAACATCTGCAGAGTTCTAGACTGAAATTTTGTAAAAGTTTCCTATTGGTGATTGAACATCATGAGATTTGATTAAATTGTGCTAGCAATAAAATTTTGATAGCTAGAAGAAAAAAATGGCTACAGCAGTTACTCACAAAACTATAAAGAATTAAAGTAAGTACAAGGTTATTAAAAGGAAAAGATAATATTTCAAAGAACAGCTTAACTTGAAACCAATTAATGCACTTCTCGAAATAGACATGAAAGCTTGATTACCATGGGAATATTGAACAAATGTCACCAAACTAGCATTACTTCCACTGCAAATTTATAGTTGTAGGGTAACACTTTTTCTTCTGGCTTTAATAACTAAAATGGTCCCTGCTTGGTATTTTCGTTTTCAAAATCAAATCATTAGGGCTAAAATTGCGCTAAATGTACGTATGGAAGATATAGTGCAATTAACTGCTACTACGATCTCGGACATGAAAGAGTATTAAAAAATAAACAGTTAAGAACTCTTAACTCACCATTGGTTGCCGTTGCTTGCTCTGGAACATGACGTTGCTGTGGTATTCCTAATTAAATTAAAGAGCAGGCTAAGTTACTTTTAAAAGAATCTTTCTCAATATAAAATACCATAATATATCTCACAGTCAAAAATTCAAGTTTTACGGCATTAAATACCCGCAAAGATTCAAATTTTATGGCATTAAATCCCCGCAAAAATTCAAGTTTTTTTTTTTTATCAACATTCAAGTTTCACTTTCTACTTTTAAGTTTTTCTGCCAGACATCAGTCCCAGCTAGCTAGTTGGGATTCTGAGCTATTCGAAAATTTGGCAGCCAGTTTAGCTGAAGCTGGGGAATGGTTACTTTGAGGATTGGCTCTATTGAGCCCTCCATACTTGTGATCCCATGTTTGAAATAGATGAAAACTTCTACATCCAAAATATTCGCCAAACCATGTTGACTGGTAGCAAGAAGCAAATCTTACCGTTGCTCGCTCTAATTGTCAAATTTGCATTATCCCCAACTACGATATTACTGCATTCGTTTACAGTTACGTTGAATTTGTGCATGCTGGAAGGTCTTCGTAGCCGAAAACGGTGCGTAAAGACCAACGTAGAAATTCCTTGCACTGCTACAAGAGGAAGAAGGCGGAAGTATGACAGAAGGATAACAGAAGTAATCACGGAAGTAAAGATTGATGTGTGGTCAGCGGAAGACACCAAATTAGAGTCTTCGGGTTTGTAGCATGGCCCAAGCATTACCCTGTTCCCGGCGTGCTTTATTCTTCAAAATGGAGTCACTGGGGTAGAGGGAGCAATTTACGACAGAAACCGTGCTGCTTTTTCGGTGGTGATTATTACAAGTTAATTTGCTTTTATCAACTGAGTTGTTGATATGAATATTGGTCACCGTAAAAGGTTTACTAAAGGGCTGCAATTAGATCGGCAAAAGACACTCAAACTTAAAACAAAAACTCCTCAATCTATGAAGATACAGAAACCTAAATTCCAAACAAAGACTACTTTGGTGTTAAAATTGAGACTATTTACTGGAAAACAACCCTAACAGTACATGCCAAATTGAATCATTCAACCTTTGTAGGAATGATAAGATCCCTCATTTGTGTGGCACACACGTGAAAGCTCTTTGCAATGCAGCATTCCCAGATTGGTGCACTTCATTTAATTTTCTATTTTACTTTTTTTTTTATATAGCAGGTTGCTTGGCAGACTAAGAAGTTTTTAACAACTAAAATATACCAGCTTTTTTTGGTATATTGACAGCAATTAAATTTTTTTTTTTGGTTTCTGTGTGGTATATACGAAGAAAATTATTCACCTTCAAGTTGGTGTCAGAGAGAGTGGTGGATATTTACATGCGGCTTTGCAGCTCAGTAAATATCCGCCTATATTCACTTCAGCTGCGGTAAATAACTGTAAACTAAAACAGTGGACAGCATCAAAGGTGTGCCCTGATTGGCTGCTCAAACTCTGAATATCCTTTGCTATTCACCACCAAGCAACTCCACTGGATTTGGACTCGAAATTATTGTAACTCATGCAGTTACAGGAATACAAGGGTTAAAATCATCTTTTTGTGCAACATTATCTCACTGTGTTAGCCTATACTGAAGAACTATTCATCGAGTGTCAGTAGGTTGGGGAGGATATTTACCTTTTTGCTTGATGGCTCACTAAAATATCTCTACTGCTGACCACCTCCACTTCAGTGGATAGATATATATTATTAGAAGTTTTGTTGTGTGGTATCGCTGAGTATTTTTAAGAGTTAATTGTGCCATATTTTGACGAGCCTGTAGCTAGGGTGAGTCGAAATACAAATGACAAGTAAAATACTCAGTGATATTACACAGCAAAATGTTTAATAAGAGATTTATTATTCAACATGCCAAATAATTGTTATTTCAGTGCAGATGAATTTTGTGGATATTTCTGGAGTACAAATATCATGTACTTGTCTCACGTGTTACTTGTACTCTACGAAGCACATTTGGATAATGATTAGTACTTTATCATAATTAGATTTTTATTCTGCTTACATTTATGCACACTACTTGCTTCTCATTGTACTGAACATAACTTCAACAACAAACTTTATGCAAATTAATTGCTATTATAACAATAATAATTATCCTTGATGAGGCCATGCAAGGTCAAAATTTTAATTTCAATTTTAACATAGCATTTCTAAGAGATTGTTACATGTGCAGGGCTAACTTGAACCCACATATTATTATGGAAATACATACAAATGTAACTACTGGACAACATTCAAGATTATTGATATTATTGATAATCTATTCCCTATGTCTGATGTTAAGACAATGCATTAAATGATCCAGACAAAAGTCTCTACTTTTGGTTCAAACGTTCTCTGGATTTGTATCAGTGCTTCCCCTTACAGAGGTGATTGACATATAACTTCTTGCTATTAAATCTATATGAAAAACAGGTAGTGAGAATACTCAAACCTAATATGTAAAAGTTATCTTGATCTGACACAAAATTCTTGTAACCAATTTACAGGGAAATGTGTAATAGCTAGAGGGGAGAATTAACAATCAATCATCTTCAATGTTGAAGTAACAGTGTTTGCTAATAACTTGTTCTTTGACCCTCCCAGTCTTGCTTTCCTGACTGGTTTCAATTCTTTTCACTGTCTGTCATATGTTCCTACCAGTTTTTCAGTTCTGGGATATAGATGGTACTGGGTACATCAAAACACTACCATCACATAGGTAGATCCAGGGAAGGGGTTGAGGGGGTTGCAACCCACCCCCCCCCCCCTTGGACAGCATTTGTTTCTTGTTATTTTGTTTGATTCTTCCTAAATAATAAAAGAAATTCCTTTCTTTTACCAAGTTGTTTCACTTGCACTGCACCCCTTTAATTAAGAGATCTCGCCAGAGGCACAGGGCCTCACTTGCCTTAAACACCACTGGCATTGAAGATTACTTCGATGGTGTACCCCCCTTTCAGAAATTCCTGGATCCACCCCTGCATCATCAGCTTGTTAAGTTGGTAATCATCTCCTTTATACTCCTGACCTTAATGTTTGATTCAAGGGGTGATATTGTAAGGAGAAATTACATGCCGGTCACTCTTTGGGGTTAAAGATAATTTCTAAACTAAACTTACATTTACTATTAATTATAATAATGATTTTCATTATTCAACATTATCATACACATTAATTGTAGTTAACACAGTTCAGTTGCTTTTGAAAAACTCAACATTATCATACACATAATTGTAGCTAAAACAGTTCAGCATCATTTGAAAAGCTCTGCAATATCATACACATAATTGAAGCTAAAACAGTTCAGTAGCTTTTGAAAAGCTTAGGTGCATTTTCCAAACCCTAACTACGGCAGCATCATCAGTGTTCTTATAAGTTACAATTTTGATGTAAAGGCTTCAGGTTGTTAAGTTTAGAATGAGTTTCAGGTCAAGGTCAAAACAGTTTAAACTAGATTAGGTTTGATTCTGTTTGAATTTGAATCTTCGCTAATTCCAACTTTGAGCTAACCTGAGGCAAAATCAATTTTTCTGAGGACTCATCTCATACTCGAGCTGCCTTTTTACTTTCTGTCACTCAAACCTACTACTGCTAATTCAAACCAGTCTTCATTTCCCTTAATGAAGTAATTTTTTTATGCAACTGCACCCTCCACTGATGACTTGAACAATTGTATGACTTTCAATTCATTGAAAGTCAAAACAAACTGTACTGTAGTTATAAAAAATGCTTAATTTATATGGAACCATGGAATGGTTCTCTGTCCCTTGTCCTCTTTTCACGCTGCACAAAACAACTGTGATTCAATAGTGATGTATAGGCATACAGGATCCAATCAACCACAATACGTTGTGTGTTCACAGAGCTCCCTTGCTTAGCTTAATTGCTGCTACTTCTAGATGTTCTATTTTCACTTGCACTCTATAATATAAGAAAATTTTATCCTAAATTTCACTGTATAACTCAAACCTTCTTCAATTTCCCTTGAAGATTTCAGTCAACAGAAGAGGACTGCCTAGTCTACCATCACAAAGCAGGTACTGAGCATAGTTTGAATTCAAATGATGAACCCAGATTTTTCCTTGTTCCACGCTTGTTACAAATATCTGACAACCTCCTTTCCAAATAAGTTTGTTCAAAATCCCTACAACCTGAAACTCACTCACATGACGACATTTATTGCAAAGAGTTCATGAATGAAGTATTTATTTATAAGTAGGATTGAAAAACACTTTCCTTCTCAACATGCAGACTTGGCAAGGAATTTGCTTTAGGCCTGTTATGCTGAAAAAATTGGCAACACGGTTGTTGACTCTCAACATCATATCCATGAGATGTTCTCTTTCTGCGTAATCTTTGAAGATTTCAACAACTGTTGAAATGAACCAGGAACCAAGCTCTGGCTGCCTGTAGCTTTGATGGCCAGGGGCAGAGGCAAAACAGATCAGAAAATCAGCATCAGCTGGCAGAGATGAGCTTGCAAGTGGAATAGGTTCACTGTCCCTCTGGATAGGTACCCTATCCTGTTGATTGCCACGGCAAGCTTGGATCAGAAATATCTTTGGTTTTCCTTCAAGAGATGGGCACTCATCTCGGCGAAAAAAGGAAGTAATTGCTTCAATTTTAATTAAAACATCATCTGTTCCAAAGATTCCATCTCCAAAACCATGGCTAAGGATTATGCAAACAAAACAATCATATCTGCCAAAGTCCTTCTCTGATGTTTCTCTTAGTAATTCTAAGATTTCACTTTGTTTCAAGTTGTCGTGAGTCCTGGTAGTGAAATTAAAATCATCAAAGAGACTCTTGAGACCTTTCACATCTTCTCCTGACCCATGGCGCTCAACATCCGTCCTCTGGGGGAAGATGTAATTATTAATTACTAGCGCATAACCAGACTTGGCTTGGTAAATGATGTCATCCCCAGTCTCTTGACAAGGTGTATGAGCTGCCAAAGAAACAGTTATAAAAATTAATTTGATTTTAAGCAGAAATATGAATCTTTATCTCTGCTTAGCCTTGTCTTCTATTATAAAAAAAAAAACTTTGTATGCTGGCCATCCCTTTCTCAGGGCAATGACTGGTTACATATTAAGTATCTCTACACCATGATTCCTTTTTTTTTTTCTTTTTTTTTTTTTTTCCAAAGAAACAGTTATAAAAATTAATTTGATTTTAAGCAGAAATATGAATCTTTATCTCTGCTTAGCCTTGTCTTCTATTATAAAAAAAAAAACTTTGTATGCTGGCCATCCCTTTCTCAGGGCAATGACTGGTTACATATTAAGTATCTCTACACCATGATTCCTTTTATTTTTTCTTTTTTTTTTTTTTTCCATACCACTACAATGGCTGCTTACAGCTTCTATATTATAACCAAAATAGTCCCTGCATGGTGCACACTCCAAGCTTAATTTTCTGTAGATGAACAAAAAGTTGACTAGCTCCCTTAATCCTTAAGGTATGAGGTGTAATAAAAAAGGAAGTGGAACAATGATGAGAAGAAAATCAAACAAGACATGAACTAGAGAGTTCTTGTTTGATTCAAATCACTGGAGCTAAAACTGTAGGAAATGTGTGGAAGATAGTGCAATGACCTTAAAATAAAAAACTATTAAGGTCCAACTGGACATGAAAGGTATTTAAAAAAACTAGACAGTTGAACTCTTAACTCACCTCTGGTTGACGTTGCTTGCTTTGGGACATGTTGTTCCTGTGGTATTCCTAATAAAAAGTTAAAGATTGAACTAGCTATTAGTAAGTGACTTTAAAAAGAATCTGTTCTTTATCTACAATGCCTTAATTATCATATCTCTCAATTAGTTCATGTGCTACAATTGGTCAATTTAGCTGGGCATATATAACTGTACAGGGCCCACTGGAAAATTTGTTTAGAGTGAATTTGTCCCCCCCCCTCCCTATTTGAACCCAGAGGTATAATAAACATCTTACTAACCTCATTTTCTGGGTCAGTATTGTAAGTTACACAACCTGTTTTTTTCTGTATGAATTTATGCCCCATGTGCTTTGCACTTCTTGGGCCCTGAATTACACTTATACTGATCTCAAACTCAGTAGGCAAGAGTTGTACATTTGTCAGGCTTCTTGGCCTAGAGTCCCGAAGGTGAGTAAATCTCAGAACAAATACATAAGTTGATGCAATCCCAACCACTTGGTCAAATGTCTGTGCATGTGAAAAAGTTGTAATGACTAAGTGGCATGTTGTCATGCTGTCAGAAGCAAGTTGTCTCAAGTAAGTTTTTAATTAATCATAACTACAAAAGCCACTAAGTCAGGCTGTTTTAACCGAATATAACTGAATAAAACAGAATAGTAGATCAACAGGATGCCTGTTCTTGAAAAAGCTTTGTACTCAAGTTTTTCTCTCACATGCTCTTGTTTGCTCTTACAGATTTCTATGGATGTTTAAATTTTTGTTTGCTTACTTTGAAGAACAGTGGTTGTTTCTTAAAAAATTTTGCATGGGAAATGGACATGCTGGTGCACAAAATTTTTGATCTCCTTGCATGTGCCACATGAGTAATCACTGGCATATAGAAATTGGTATTTCAAAAAGTTGGTATTATTTCAAGAAATGTGAAAGGGGGTTTTCCCATTTCAGTTTCATTTTCGTGGATCCTTCTCTTCACCTTGTTTGTAAAAATTATTTGACTAGTATAAGATTAAAGTCAAACTTAGGAATAAAATATGCATGACCAACGAGATGGGATAAATAATTACTCTCAAAATTCCTTCCCATTTTTTTCGACTTGAAGTTACTCTTTTAACACTGCGCAATGTATTTGCGAGGTTTTGGTTCAAGTGATCTAACTAGGACGAGAAAGAAAAGCTACGTTTGAAAGATAACGTGTGCGTATCTTGCATAATTTTAAATGGCTTCCTCAAGTTTGCCCATATATATCAAACATGTTAAACTACACTTTTCCTTCTCGGGGGAACGTTTGATCGAGAAGCCAAACCGTGTTGTACACAACATGTACAAACTCGATGTCGAACGAAATAATTGCGGTCGACGATAATCAGAAGGATGCATTCTTACCGTGGGTCACCCCAACTGTCGCATGATCACCAACCACGACGTTACCATCACATTGATTTACAGTAATACTGAATTTAGACATACTGGAAGGCTTTCCAGTCGAAAATAATGCGTGAAGACCAAAATAACAAATCTAAAGATCCTTAGACATTTACAAACGGAAAGACGGGTTGATAGGTGGTCAGCGGAAAACACTATATTACATCAAATCAGACTTTAAATTGCATCAACTATCAGGAAAGTAAATAAAAGATTGAAATTATGCTTTGAACTAGCCACACACTTTCAATTATCTTGGTCCATTTTTCGAAGCACAGATCGAAGACTTCCTTCACAACAGAGAAATATGTGTATCTTTTGAAATCTTACCGGCGGTGGCCCCGATGGTCAATTTCGCATGATCGCCAACCACGACAGCGCCCTTACACTCTTTTACATTCACGTTGAATTTCGACATGCTGAAAGGAAAGGTTTTGGCAGCCGAAAACGAAGCGTTGAGGTCCTTACACGGTCAAACGGAAGTAGACGGAAGGGAAGACAGGACGGAGTTAAAAGTGGTCAGCGGAAAACACAACTACCAATAAAAACCAGTG